TCACCTCACCCCGCCTTCACAAGAAACCAACAGAGACCATCTGCCCAGCTGACAGATGAGGAGGTTGAGGTTCGCAGCAATTAGGAGGCTCAGACTGGCCCAGTGTCATCCAGCAGGCCTGATCTGAGTCAAGATGGCACCCAGATCTCTTGACACTCTGAGAACGGAAAGGTAGTGAGCTGTGGGCGCTGCTATCCTGTCCCTGCCCCCAGCCCCGTCCACCCCCAGCCTAGTCTCACACCAAGACAAAGACTCAAAGCCCTCAAGTACTAGAGGGCATTACTAAGACACCAGCTCCTCCAGCAACCCTCCCCCTGGGCCCCAATCTCCCTCTCCAGCTCTTCTCAGCACTCCTGACTTCAAGGAATCCAGGCGGAGTGTCTTGAAGCCTGTCTCCCCCCGGAACTAAAAAGGCCTTGGGTCTGCAACTGCATCTACTCTCAGCGATTCCTGGACTCCAAGTCCTCACTGACCAACTGACAAGACACAGCACAGGGGCTCACAGTCCAGAGAGGGAAGGCAGCCAGACCCAGCTGCCCCCTCTTCCTCCCTCCCAAATCTTGCTGAGTTCGCCATTGTGCAGGCTCCCCTGTCTGGGGGCGGGGGGGCGGGGGATCTGGAATATTACAGCGCGTATGTGGCCGAAAGGGTGCTCATGGGGAGTGTCGCTGAGATCTAGAGGCTGTGTCTGAATGTAGATGGCAGAGATTCGTGTCTGTAACTTGGGGCTCTGCAGAGAAAGGAGATGGGGCTGGAGCTTGTGTAGTTGCCAGTCAGCCTGGCAGAGCCTTCCCCGGCAGCCCCTCTGGCTCAGAGACCCCCCACAGTGAGGGCCCCATCTGCTGGAGGCTCGGTGACCTGTGTCAAATGAGCAGGCGCTCGGTCACACTCCAGAGCCTGGCGGAGGCCAAGCCACTCTGGGAAAGCCCTGCAGCTTCTGGCCTGGGGGTGGGCTGGGCAGGGGCCCGGCTGGGGAGAGAGGCCTGGGAGCCTCTGAGCCTGGCAGCAGCCTGGCTGGGCACCATCCTCCACAGACAAGGGGAGTGACAGAATATGAAGAGAAAGGGCTTTCCTGCTTCCTTGAGACTAGCGCTGCTGCCAAGCCACATGGACCAAACTCTGGGCGAGGCATGCCCCTTCCTCCTCTCCTGATCCCCGGGGAGATGTGTTCGTTCTTACAGGGTGCAGGTACATGTGTGTGTCTATGTCATGTGCGGGGTGGGCCCCTTTGTATCTGTGCAGCGGGGCGAGGTGAATGGACGAGGCTGGCTCTATGCTCAGATGTATGAACACGAGACTGTGCCTATTTGTGTGAATTCACATGCCGGTTGAGAGCCTCCATGCTTGTGACCCCAAAGGCCTGTAAGTCTCGAGTATTTCTGTGTCGCGGAAGGAATGCCTACTTGAGCCCATTTCAGCCTCTGCGTAGGTTCTGCGTAGGTTCCCGTGGACACACATGCCTGTATGTTCATTGTGTGTTGGTTTGTGTGAATATGAATATCTATGACTATCCGACCTAGTGGTGCAAGTCCATGTGTCCCTATTATAAATCTACGCTTGTCCCTGGGCTAAAATGCATGTGTGTACCTGGGTGTGCGTATGTGTGTGTACATACATCTGTTCACATGTCTAAGCCGTTCTGCGTCTGTGCGAGTCAGCTGGGTGTCCGACTCTTGTGTTCCAAGTTCTCCCCAGGGTCCGTGAGCGTAGGCTCCGGGAGAGAGCGGCTGTCCTGCTGCACGTGTCTCTGCCAATGACCATGCCACAGTCCCCTGCATCCCACACAGGATCTCTGGGAGCAAGACCAAGAGGATGTGTTCGCCAGACTTTCTAGAGAATAAACTCTCAAATAAGAGAAACTTCTGTCTCAAGACCAAACCCTTTTCATTGTCGAGGGTCTAAAACTTCCAAAGCAGAGAAGGGGATAGCATCCTTTCCTAGTTGGCACTGCGGCTCACCCCAGGCAGCATCGAACATTCAGAGGGCATCTAAATGACATGCTTGCTTCATCTTTGGAGCCTCAGAGCAATCCTGAGAAGCAGGCATGACTGTTCCTGTTTTAAGATGAAGAAACTGAAGCTTCTACAAGCAAGCCACTTAGCACAACGTCACAGGGCTGCTGATGGGAGTAAAGGGATTGGAACTGAGATCTGCTGACTGACAAGCTAGTAAACTAGGAGCCTGACTTTGTTACAGATGCCCCTCAATTCAGCACAGACATGGAAACTCAGCTTAGAAGCACCAGCTGGCCTTTCTTTCTACCGGAGAGCTACCCAAGATAGGGCAGCGGGCTCTCTCTTGCCAAAGCCACCACCTCCACTGGCAGCCTCCCCCATCCCACTGGGGAGAGTAATGAGGAGAGGGACCGTCACGGGTCCTGTGCCCTCGGACAAGCCTCGGTTCTTCCCGCTCTGCACTGGCGATGACAGTCCCAGTGCACTCTCTCAGGGCTGAGAGGTGTAGGTGCCATGATGAATGAAAAGCACTTGGTAAAGTACTGAGCCATCGCTCAAGTCTCAGTGACAATTCCAAAAACTTGACATCACAACACCTGTCCACTGTCCAGACATTTCCCCTCCTCCAACAAAAACTGAGACCAGCCCTAGCTCGTTTGGCTCAGTGGATAGAGTGCTGTCCTGTGGACTGAAGGGTTCCGGGTTCGATTCTGGTCAAGGGTACATGCCCGGTTACATGCTTGATCCCCAGTAGGGGGTGTGCAGGAGACAGCCAATCAATAATTCTCTCTCATCATTGATGTTTCTATCTCTCTCCCCCTCTCCCTTCCTCTCTGAAACCAATTACATACATATATATATATATATATATATATATATATATATATATATATATATATCTGAGACTATCAGAGCTGAAAGGGCCTGAGAGGTCAACTAGTCTAAACCTCCATAAACCCAGTCTACAAATGAGGAAACTGAGGTTTAGTTAGAGCAGGGGAGGAACTTGCCCATTCACTGGGCACTAACAATAGAAACAAGCAGAGTAAAAGCCCTTTCTGAGGCCCTATCACCCCCATTGTCTCGGGCCACCCTCTGACTTACCTTAGCAAGACAGGTGGGCTGCCTGGGGTCCCACTGTTGCCAACTTACAGATAGGAAAACCAAGAGCTAGAGACACTGGACCAAAGTTAGTCTTGCCCAGGAAGATGGTGGCGGCCCAAGCGTCAGTGTCGTGCAGGTCTGATCAGGCTGGCATGAGGCGAGCCTTCGCTACAGGGGTCCCAGCCGTGGTCCACCCCCTGGCGAGGGGCCAGGAAGGTGAGTGGACCAGGAGGTCTGCTGCTTCATGATCGTATGAAGGAAAGGTAATTGGAGGGGACCACTTCCTGGGCCAGAGTCCAAGAAAAGTCAGCATCCCTAGCTGGATTCAGACACAGCTCGTGAAGTGAGGGTGGTACCTAAGGAGCCTGCTCAGGACGGGGGCCACTGGCCAGACAAGGACCTTGCCCTGTCCCACTCCATCCCTTGGGGACCAACCAGAGGCAGGACCTATGGTGTTCAGAGCACAGCCTGTGCCCAGGATGACCTTGTCACTGTGGATGTGGCAGCTGCCACCAGATCCCTGTCACCCTTCTTCACACTCTGAGGCTTTATTCCACAGTCCTGACTTGCCCTATGGGGCCCTAACTGGTTCTCCAGCGGGGTCCTATGATCTGGGACCCCCAGAGCCCTGGAATCTATGAACCCACTGGAGGCAAGACCAGGGAGAGAAAAGATGAAGACTGTGCCAGCCAGACCTCAGTGTGGAACAGAGGCCACAGCTCACTCCACTCAGCCCATAACTCAATGTGGGATTTAGAGTCACAGACCAGCTGATGCTGAGGTCCGAGTCCACTTAGGATCCTTCAGAGAGTCCTCAAGGGGGAGGGATGAGGAGGTGCCTGCATTGCATGTCTCACCCTTCCAATAAGGCCTTCTCTATCTCAATTCCCTTCTTGGTAGCCTCAAGCAAGTCGGTTAGAGCCAGCCCAGGGCTTCATCGCAGGCTGGACAGCTCCCGGCTGAATGCTGGATTTCTGAAGTGCCAGACGCCTTTTCCCAAGTCCATGCCACTCCTCACCCACAGCTAGTTTCCCAGGACGTGACCCCGATATGACCCTGGCCAATGAGCCAGTCCGGCAGGGAGGAAAGGAGCGAGAAGGCGGTATGGGGCAGACGTCGGTGAGCCCTGCGTATCCACCACCCCTGACTGCGGCGTTTTCCCCAAAGCCACAGTCTAATACCTCTCCTCCGAAACCCGGAAATCCCGCGCGGCCTGATTACATCGCGGCCACCGGCTGTTCCACCGCGAGCCACCCGCACGGTACTCACCTGGGCCGCGGTGCCGGTGCCGGTGCCGGTGCCGGGAGAAGGGGAGCCCGCGCGAGGCGTGAAGCTGGAAGCTGGGGCGGGTCCGAATCTGCCCGCGCTGGACGCGCTCTCGGGCGGCCCAGTGGCGGCGCTGAGTCTAAAAGGAGAAGAGGGGACAGGAGACGCGCCGGGGAGACGCGCAGGGGACAGCTCTATGCCCGCTGTAAACCGCGGGAGCAGGGCGGGCACGATGAGCAGCCGTGCCGGGACCGAATCCGGCACCCACGCCGCCTCCCGCTCGCAGCCGCCGAGACCGCGGGAATCCTAGCCGGCTGACAACCGCTCCACGGAGGGAAGAGCGCGAGGGCGCGAGGGTGAGCCGCTTCTCGGAGCCCGAGCGCCTCCCGTAGCCCGCAGTCCTCGCCGCCGCCTCTGGCCTCCCGACGGGCGGGAATTCAGCTCGCGTGGAGAGTGGGACCCGCCGGGCTCCGAGCCTCCAGCGCGGGGGAAAAGAGGGGCCCACGCAGCCCGGACCAGAGGGGGCGCGGTCCCACGGCCACCCCCGCGCCACTCCCCCACGTGGCAGCCGCGCCCCCGGGGCGTGAGTGTGTACGCGGACGGTGGGGGGCTGTGAATGAAGCCCCAGCGGCCAATCAGCACGGTCGGCGCGCGGGACCCCGGGAGTGAGGCCCAATGGCGAGCTCTGGGGCGGCCGGGCCGAGCGGCGGGGCGTGCGCGGTGTGGCGTGGGCCGGTGACCGGGGGGAGGGGAGGCAGCTCCGCGGGCAGCCAATGGGCGGCGAGTGGGGGTGGGGCTCCGGAGCGCTGAGCGGGTCGAGGCTTTAAGCCGGCGGAGCG